ACTATCTTCCTTCCGTCGTGCAAACCACCCAGTCACATGACACCCCCAGCCACGCCCACCAAGCCACGCCCACAGAACCGGCAGTAAAAAAATTGAATTCCACCACTGGGGGGAGGCACTGAGGATCAGTTTGTAGCACCAAGGGGCCTGTGAACTGAAAAAGTTTGGGAACCACTGATATAAAACATTCATATGAAGCTTCACTAGCTTTATATAAAAAATGTTATACAGTGGTAGACTACGTTTCTACAAAGAAGAAAACATTTCCAAGCTTTCTGATATTAGTCAGAAAGTGTTCTGCCATTTAATTCTTGGTTGCAACACTATCAACATTAAACAGATTTATTAGAGACTCTTTTTTTACAATCTCCCTTTCCCTTCTGATTGTTATTGTGCCTTAGGAGCTATTTGAAGATGGCTATGCAAATGGAGAAGAAGGAACTCCTACTGGAGAAGCCACTGCAGCATATACTGCTGATAGTAAAGGGATTGTCAAATTTGGTTGGATTAAAGGTGTATTGGTGAGTAGAACTTCGGTATTTCAAGTAATTCTTAATTTCTATTTAATGTTTTTAATCATGTGTGGGATGAAGTTCAACATTTCATGAATGGTAAAAAACGATCTTATGATAGAACAGAACCAGAATTACTTGTAAAATAGAAATATTTCAATTTAGTCACTTAGCTCACAGTATTTTCTGTTCACCCAAATACCAATATTTAATTGTATTACTGATTTGATATGTAATATATTTTCAAGTTCATATCTAGGGTGAGATAATTTATCCATCTACTAAAAGTACGCAGACCCTGCTTTTTTTCTTGTCTTGGTTCTTTTCAGTCTTTTTCATATATGTTGTTACTTGACATCTCTATTTTTGCCTGGCAGAGTTTTTCCTTTTGTTTGCCTAGCAGCGATGTATTTTGTTTGCCTATTTCCTTTTCTTCTTGCCTGGTAGAGAGGTTGAGAGCAGGTGTGGGTTCTCAGGGAATGGTGCTGCCCATCACAAGGAGATTTGTGGGGTTGATAGTGTTCCCTATGCCCGGAAAATATGCTAGGCTGGCGTATTAAGACAAGTTGTGAGGCTACTATTTCCAGACTGTTTCTATTCCAGGCCTTTTCCTATGGCCTGGAATTCACATCTGTAGAGCACTCACTGCCCTGCCTTTGCTGTTTAACATCCATGAAGTGTCATTATAGGCCATAGAAAATGGCTTGGAAAGACAGCATTTTGAGGTCCCTGTCTGTCTATCTGGCAGTTTTCATAATCACTGCCCCAAAGATTCTTTTTTTAAAAGAAGGAAAAGGTAAGAGTATCACTGGACTGAAAAAAGTAAGCTATGAAAATGTTTTCATTTGTGTCTTTTCATTCTTGATAGTCGGTTATTTTCTTTTGTTGATTGGATTACCATAATCCACAGACTACTTAGAAAAAACCCACATCCCATATAATTTATTAGTGCATTCTACCACAGAAATATTCTAGAGCTGTATGGTTAATTTGTAATAAGCAATATTATGGTTAGTTATATGTAATTAGCATCTTTTAAATTTATTTGAGATTTCTATCTTTATATTTTTAGCTTTCTGTTCAGTTATGCTGGCTTCAAGGATAATATTGTATCTTTTCTATGGTTTAAACACTCCTTACAAAACAGTTTCCAGTTTGGCATGTTAAGAAACTACAGCTCAGTACTCACACTCTTCCTATAACCATACAAAGCAAATGGCTCCAAAATGGTGGTACAAATAACAACAAATGATATGTTTTTGGAGTGGCATTATATATTATGTTAGTTTTATTGCTATACTTTTGGTTTATAAACAGTGATCAGTCTTTTTCTGGTGAACATGTTTTCTTGCTATTAGGAATCTAGAAAGGTAATACATTTGTTTTCTTTATATAATTATTGATTAGATGTTAATAATAATTTCTTTCAATAATATGCAACTAGCTTTTTAAAATTGTCATCTTGCAATCTTGTTTTCTAAACTACCTTTTTATATGTAAATTAGAAACTTTTGCCCGCTGTTAAGAATATAAGAGCATGAACAGTAATTATAATGAGCTTTAAACAGAATAAGAGAGTTGGAAGAGACCTTGGAGGTCTTATAGTCCAACCCCCTGAGGCAGGAAACCCTACACCACTTCAGACAAATGGTTACCCAACATCTTCTTAAAAACTTCCAGTGTTGGAGCATTCACAGCTTCTGGAGGCAAGTTGTTCCACTGATTAATTATTCCAACTACCAGGAAATTTCTCCTTACTTCTAGGTTGCTCCTCTCCTTGATTACTTTCTACCCATTGCTTCTTGTCCTACCCTACTGTAGGTGCTTTGGAGAATAGCTTGACTCCCTCTTCTTTGTGGAAACCCCTGAGATATTGGAACACTACTATCATGTCACCTCTAGTCCTTCTTTTCATTAAGACATACCAAGTTCCTGCAGCCGTTCTTCATGTTTTAGCCTCCAGTCCCCTAAACATCTTTGTTGCTCTTCTCCGCACTCTTTCTAGAGTCTCAGCATCTTTTTTACATCATGGTGACCAAAACTGGATGCAGTATTCCAAGTGTGGCCTTACCAAGGCATTATAAAGTGGTATTAACATTTCACGTGATCTTGATTCTATCCCTCTGTTTATGCAGCCTAGAATTGTGTTGGCTTTTTTGGCAGCTGCTGCACACTGCTGCCTCATATTTAAATGGTTGTCTACTAGGACTCCAAGATCCCTCTCACAGTTATTATTATTGAGTGAGGTACCACATATACTGTACCTGTGCATTTTGTTTTTCTTGCCTAAATTACTTTTTCACCATTGAATTTCATTCTGTTAGATAGAGCCCAATGTTCAATCTGTCAAGATCCTTCTGTATCTTAAGCCTATCTTCCGGGGTGTTGGCTATTCCTTCTAGCTTGGTGTCATCTGCAAATTTGATGAGTTCCCCATTTATCCCCTCATCCAAATCATTAATGAAGATATTGAAGATTAATGGGCCTAAAACAGAGCATTGGGGTACTCCACTGCATGCAGTTACATTGAGGACTACATGTTGAGTGCGGTTGTTCAGCCAGTTACGAGCCCAACCAGTTACAAATTTACTTGCTGAAAACTCATCTATGTGCTGTTAAAGTTAAATGGCTTCCAAGTTGCATTTTGAAAAGAATGCTTGAAAGCTTGAGATGCTTGGTTCTCTCATAAGAAACTTTTAACTTGAACTGTTACAATTACTTCAAAAATCTAATTTTAATATAAATGTTACTTACTTTCATGTTGATGTAGGTACGATGTATGTTGAATATCTGGGGTGTGATGCTCTTCATTCGACTATCCTGGATTGTAGGACATGCTGGCATAGGTAAATACTTCTGAACACCATATTTTCGCTATTGCTAAAATTCCTGTGATTTGACATGTGACAAAATATGAATTATAGAGTAGGATTACTGCTAAATGTCCATAATTTCTCAAAAAGCAAGAATTGAATGGTTAAACAACTGTCGTTGTTTTTTTTTTTGCAAAACTTTCACATTTTGGGGTGAGGGAAGTTTGTTTCTATATTAAAACATAACACACCTGAATGATTAGCCCTGTATTTGATTTCCAGAAGTTTATGTAGGTGACTTTCTTACTAAAAATTAATATGATTTCTACTAAAGCTTTGTTTGAAAAAAATATTGAGCAATTGCTGAATATGTTTCATTTGCTGTGAACTAGCAGTATCTTTTATACTCCCATCATTAAACATGTTTCCATATGTGACATTTATGCTACTTTTGTTATTTTTATATATTGCAATCAGTTGTTAACGTCCCATCAACCTGGTATCAACAACACTTATTGACTAGATAAATAGATTTTCAGGTCTTCCAATAGCACATCTATTGCTGCTGTAATTCACCACTTAAATGTATTCAATTTTAAGGCTGGGTTACTGCATCTGTTTTATACTAGTTTGGTTTTCTTTATATTTAATTATACTCCTATTTTCTCACTGAGGTGTTTGACTTTGATTACTACAGTAGAGCTCTCTAGTCATTTGTACTTTTAGAGTAATGTCAACCAACAAAGCCCAGTTTGATATTTATTTCTCCACTTTTAAAATTTCATTCATCAGCTTCTGATCAAGCTTCTTTCAGTATATATTTGATACATAGATCAAATAAATAAGACAGATAATTCAGTCTTTGCTGACCTGATCTGATTCTTTGCCATTTTCCTGTTGTGTGTGGTTTTTGCATTTGAAAATGATCTGAGAATGCCATTTACCTAAAGACATACCCCAGCTTGACAGAATTACAGGCCTTCCTGTAATCAATGTAGTACATAGTGAATTATTTTTGGTATTCTTTGGCTTTCTCAATTATCCAGAGAGCAATATTGTCTCTTGTTTTTAAAACATAATATTCTATTCAGCTTTGGATGATCCTAAGAATTATTTTGCTAATGATGAAATTAAAGATACGATATAACAGTTGGCAGAGAGTGTTCTTTCTTTGATATTGGCATTAAGCTGATCTATTCCAATCACTTGCCAATGTGTCTTTCTCCAGATTTACTGTTATATGGAATCATTCAGTCATTATTTTGTTACTTTGTCATATTTCTATAAAATTTCATCAAATCCTTTAGCTTTTAAACTTGATAGTGGATTGTTGACCTAAAGTTATCATCTAGTACTAAAGGTCCTTGTAAATAGAGATTATCTTCTAAGGTAATTTGGATGTTGACATTGCTGTTATTCAGAATTTCATTACGTATTTTTCAACTTTGGTTGAATCAGTATTTTTTGTTAAATAATATACATTTGTTTTAGGAAATATATAGTCCTTACAAATCACAACAATTCTATTTTCCTTATAGGACTTGCTGTCTTGGTTATTGCAATGGCCACTGTTGTAACTACTATCACTGGCTTGTCTACATCAGCAATAGCTACCAATGGTTTTGTGAGAGGAGGTAAAACTTCATTATTACTTACATGATTAGTAGTCTTCAAATGTAGTTGGTATAAATGGTTTTTTAGCCCTACATTTATATATAATAACTTATGTATGTAAATTCCCTGATGGAACCATTTTTCGTATAATTTAAAGAAATGTTTAAAGACCATGAAATATATGATTGATGTGCATCCAACAACAATTTGATACCACCTGCAGCAGCAATAACAAAATATTATGCTAGCTTGTCAGTGTCAGTTGGTTTCAAAAAACTTCTTTTTGGTAACTTGTTATAAAAATCCTCTATTCATCATGAATGTTTTGCTTAACAAGCAGAACAGTTACTTGCATGCAGTTTCATAGTTCTTTGGTTGTAAGGAAAGTTCTAGAAAATACATGAGTGCTTTATCCCTTGATCTTTTTCCATAGAGTTAGTAGCTGTAATTCTCTCTATCTTTCTGCCTCTCTATAGTATCTATCTGTCAGTAGGACAGTCTGTCTGTTAGGTGTTGTTTACTTCAGTGCTAAACAGATGCAAACATTTTCTTACAAGTGAATAATATAATGTTATTAATTCTGTACTTCTTAAGACTGTGCACATGAAAATCAGAATTGACCTCAAATAGAAAAAAGGGGGAAATCAGTGCTTGTAAGACATAATCATAAATTTTGTGCATAAATACATAATATGTATCATAACTTACATCTTACACTGTCTGTTCTTTTTTAGGTGGTGCATATTATCTCATTTCCAGAAGCTTGGGGCCAGAATTTGGTGGTGCTATAGGCTTGATCTTTGCATTTGCTAATGCTGTTGCCGTAGCCATGTATGTAGTTGGTTTTGCAGAGACTGTTGTTGATCTACTTCAGGTAAACTCATTCTTCTAGTGTGCTGTTTGTTATCTTTCTGTTTCACAGTTTGAAGAAGATTTCCTCAGAACAGTTCTACTTTGGAATAGTTTATAAAAACTTTTTAGGAAGATGTGGGACAGTTTGGATTTAATGGTGTAGTAGTGCAATGGACAAATATTTGCTGAGATCAGCCCAAAATCAAATACATCATTAAATTATGCATACTGGAAAACCTGAGGAGGTCTATGATTCATCAAAATAGTTTGATAGTTCCAGTAGAAATAAACCTGTGAAAAGCCCATGAGTTTATAAAGTATCCCTTTAAAGGTTTGTGCAACTCTAGGAATAATTATAATGGGGGATTTGATGCTATGAAGATTATTCAGTCATTTAACATCTTTCATTTATTAACATTGGTGACTATAGCTTGTGCTTTATATGGTGTGCTTTAGTTCCAAACCAGAATTTGAAAAAAAAATGAAGTCTGGATTAGAGGGCAAAGGCAAGTTCAGTGGTTGGATACAAATTTTTTTACTACCGGTTCTGTGGGCATGGCTTGGTGGGCGTGGCAGGGGAAGGTTACTATAAAATTTCCATTCCCACCTCACTCAAGGTGAAGGATACTGTAAAGTCTCCATTCCTTCCCCACTTCAAGGGAAGGATACTGTAAAATCCCCATTTCCTCCCAATCAGCTGGGACTCGGGAGGCGGGGGCGGGACCAGTCAGAGGTGGTATTTACCAGTTCTCTGAACTCCTCAAAATTTTCACTACCGGTTCTCCAGAACTGGTCAGAACCTGCTGAATACCACCTCTGGGCAAGTTGTACTTCATTGATGACCAACCTAAGTGGAAATTAAGGCAACATGAAAATATGGAGCATACATACATGTCATGTAGTTCTAAATCACAACTTTATTTTTCTAAACTTAGTAATCAAGTCAAAAACATTAAATTTAGAAGAGTTTAATATTAATCTCAATGATTAGAGATAGTTCTTATAAAATAGAGCAAAATAAACTTCAACACTTGTACAATCAGGATCTTTGATCCAATTATTGTATGTGACAAACTAAAATGAAGTTCTGTTTTCAAATATTCTTCCTAATCTTCTTTGTATTTGTTAAAATATTATTTTAGTTTGTTGCAATATTAACTCTATTACAATTATCTCATTTTTTTTGGTAGGAACATGGCCTAGTTATGCTGGATGCAAGTAATGATATCAGAATTATAGGAGCAATTACAATTGTTGTTTTATTAGGCATCTCGTTAGCAGGAATGGAATGGGAAGCTAAAGTAAGTAACTATGATTTTAAAAAAAGATATAAATATGTAAGTAATTAAGAAAAATGCATACATTACAAAAACAGATGCATACATTACAAAAACAGAACTAATATTCAAACATCTAACAAGGAACATTCAGGGTCTTATTTTCTTTTGACCCCCGAAAAAAGCGCTTGGACTTATTTTCAGGGAGGTCTTATTATTTTTGAGGTGTAGGAGGCATCGAGTATAGTCACCTCATGGCTGCTACTGTGTTGCAATATTTTGGGGGAGGGCTTATTTTAGCACATGCGCTCAAAAGCTCAATTGGGCTTATTATCCGGGGAGGTCTTATTTTCAGAGAAACGGTACATACAACGAAAAAAACATTAAAGCAGTAAAATGGTAATTCAAACAGTAATAATACTATCATCCAGTTTCTGATGATTGAATTTAACCTTTTGTTTCTATTTTTAATATCTGTTTCTGAGAAAGGTTTTTGACCCCTTAGGCTAATAAGGTTATAACAGATAATAGAAATTGGTGAACTATGCTTTTAAATTTATTCAATATGAAAGAATATTTTTGATAAGCAGATGGCATTGATTAAAAATAGAGAACTCAAACCTTTATAATATATATTTCACTCAACTAATAGATCAAAATATCTAAATATAATGATGGTTTTAATTTGAAGAATTGTTTTATATAAACATATTAACCATTTGATATTAACTACTTGAAAATTATAGGCACAGATTGTTCTGCTGGTGATATTACTGGTAGCTATCGTTGACTTCATCATAGGAACATTTATTCCATTTGAGAACAAGAAGCCTAAAGGATTTTTTGGTTACAAAGGTAAGACCAAAAAAAGCAAGTAATTTCTGTAAGTAATCTCTCCTTTGCCTGACCCTTTCCTGCTTTCAGCCCAGTCACATTGCTTTCGATGTGTAGAAGAGCAAACAGCTTGCTCTCTTACAATCCCATCTCTGTTCTGCAAGATGGGGGAAAAAGAAAAAAAACAACAATAACTAAAGGTCAGATATACGATGTGTACTGTCTGTAATGGGGAATTATGTGACTGAGGAATAATGCAAAGATCATTAAAGATTGTAAGCAGGCTGTAAAGTTGTTTTTTCCAGCGCTGTTCTAATTTTAAACAGTCATCCGAAGACTGTTCAATAAGTGAGGACTACCTGTATGCTGTTTGTAGTTAATATGTCTACTATAATCCTACAGGAATTCTTGTAAATTTAAAAGTGGATTAAATTAATATCTGTGTTTTAGTTAATAATGGGAGAAAAATTACAGGTAGTAGAAAGATACACTGATTTGGTGAAAGATTGTATTTGGTAAAAAGACACATCTTTAAATATCTACCTTACAGTTTGTTTTTTTAAGTATCAGATACTTTTTAAAGTTTCATTGTAGTTTCTTCAATGGAATAATAAATATAAGTTTATTAGACAGCACAATGTTAAAATAATTCTTTTTTAACATTTTTATTTAATAGCTGAAATATTTTCAGAAAACTTTGGACCAGATTTCCGAGACGAACAAACTTTCTTTTCAGTATTTGCTATATTTTTCCCAGCTGCAACAGGCATTTTAGCTGGTGCAAATATCTCAGGTGATCTTGCGGTGAGTGATGTTTAGTTATTTTGTCGCTATTCAGTTCTTTGGAATGTTATTGTGGTTCATAAATTCAATTTTTTCCAGGATCCTCAATCAGCCATACCTAAAGGGACACTGCTAGCCATCTTAATCACTACAGTGGTTTACATAGGAGTAGCAATATCAATAGGTAAGCAATTTTCACTTCTAAATTGTTTGGAAGTTTCTTGATGTGTGAGCCTAATTTTTCCCAGATTGTTTTTTACAATTTGAATTATTGTTTATTCTTCATATAGAGGCTATCATCTTATAATTTACCAAATACAAAATTTATCTATCTACTATGCATCATCTTAGACCAATCTTCTATATTGTAGTCCACTTGGTATTACCAAGTATTTATACCACTAGATAGGCAGAAAAAGGTAAGGCAAGAATAATATTATAAATATTGTATATGCTTCTAAAGGAGAACAAAAAGGACAAGAAAACCAAACTGCAGTTCAGATAAATTAGTTGTTTAAAATTTTCTAAAAATAGATTATAGATATTGTGAAGTTAATTTTTTTTCTTTATAAAACGTAATAGTCATTTCAGTAGAAATTCTCCCCAAAGCCAGGCATCATTTTTGCTTTTTATGGTATTTATGTTTTATGTTATTTATATTTTTATACTACCAGTATAAATTTATAGTGTATGTCAACTACTTGGATTTCTAAGCAGTGCTTAGCTTTCGAAAATATCAGATTAGCAGTGTAGGATACTAGAGCCAAGCATACAGAACAAATGTTGTTAAGGAAATTATTTAAAAAGTTGAATCAAAAAGAAAGAAGAGTCATTACTAAGAACCTATATTTCTTCTTTATAACATATAAAACAAACTTTTATTTTAAATATGTTAAATTAGATAAAATAAACCTAATTTTACCAGAGTTTAGTCCATAGTTTTTTTACACTTCTGAGGTGTTGTTTCTCTAAAGTTGCTTAAAATTAGATCTATAAAAAACAGTGTTAATTGCAAAGACAATCTGATAGTTTGTTAGATGTTAGTTCTTGGTAATAATTTTTTTACCTAGTTCATAAAAAGTTAAGTTTAGTTTTGTGATGCTTATATGGCATTTAAGAACCATATCATTCAAGAATACGGCATTTTTACAATTCTGTTTCCCTAGTAGCATAGAAGGTAAGATGGGGAGATGAGGTCTGGAAAAAAAAACCCTTCCCCTTTCTTTCCACAAATAAAATCTCAACCATTTCTTCACGGACCCCCTTTAAATATCTTTTGTGGACACAAAAGACTTAATTCAAGATTTAAGAGCCAAGGTGGCGCAGTGGTTAAATGCAGCACTGCAGGCTACTGCTAGATCAGCAGGTCAGCGGTTCAAATCTCACCGGCTAAGGGTTGACTCAGCCTTCCATCCTTCCGAGGTGGGTAAAATGAGGACCCAGATTGTTGGGGGCAATATGCTGACTCTCTGTAAACCGCTTAGAGAGGCCTGAAAGGCCTATGAAGCGGTATATAAGTCTACTGCTATTGCTGCTATTGCTAAACCATAACATTTCTTAGAGCCTTCATTGACCTCTATGATGACTTTGTGCCCCCCTCCCCCCTGAGGTCCATGGACCACAGGTTGAGAACCACTGTTCTATTAGATTCAATTGCTCTTTTGGGTTAAAGGCTATATAGAACGAAACAAGTCTGCATCTGCTATTTCTATCATGGTATATGTTGCTATTGCCATTGCAACTTCCACAGATTCTGGTGTATGTTTGTGAATAAGTTCATCTAATGTCACTGGACATCAAGAAGCAAAGGATTTGTCAATTTTGCTTCTTTTCTAGTTCATAATTTGTGTTAATATGTTTAATTTAATTGCTTGAATTTATTGGTCCACTCCCACATTCCTGACTTTCTGGAAGAGCCTAAAATGCGCTGTGTGCTATGCTGTTTGACATGCAGGTGGCTGACGGAATAGAGAAGATTCTTACCCCCAAACCATCCATCATCTTGGTTAAAACTTCTTTATTCAAATTTTATAATTTTAATTGATTATAGGACTTTTTAACTCTATTATACACCGAGCTGCCCAAAGTTGCTTTTATCAGTGAAATGTGTGGCATAGAAATTTAATAAATAAAATAATTAGAAAAAAACATAATTTACAAATGTGGGTTTTTTCAGAAGATAAATTTGTGTGCAGAGTAATGGGCTATTATTTTTCTTTTCCTGTCTCTACCTCTGGCTATCAGATGTTTAGAATTTTTTTACTCCCAGGCCTCATTTGTTGTTCCTGCAAAAGAATCTATACATCAGCATAAACTAATGCCTGAGCAACATAACTTTATATTTCCTTGCCGAAGTAACATAACTTATATTTGTGGCCAGAGGCTTTTCATAAATGTGCATAGATGCTGGCTAATATATTACAACAATATTAGTTTCCCATTCCTTGCGAAACAGGTCCAAAGAATTTTAAATTACTAACGGACTAAATCTATTTTCAACTTGTTAACCTGTCATCTACAGTGTATTCAGAACCCCTTTACTTTTGTCAATTTTGTTATGCTGCACCCTGATTACAGTCATTGAAATTCATGTTTTTTCTCATTAATCTACACTCAGTACCCCATAACGACAAAGTAAAAACAGTCTGTAAATTTATTAAATATACTATATTAATAACAAAATAGTTATCATGAAGAACAGTAATAATACAAAAAAAAAACAAGATTAAAATTCCAAACTCTGTTTACCACAGCTTTTTAACTATTCCAAATCATCCCCAAAATTAACCCTGGTTGGTTCCAGAGTAAATATCCACAATTGTTTTTTAATACTGTCTCTCATCAATTGTTTTTTGATTCAATGCAATAAGTCCAATCTTAAAAAGCCAGTCTATCGTCCCTGAAAAATCCAGATGAAATTGTTTTCTAGTTAAATGTGATAGATTCATATTTCCTTCAATCCACTTTAAAAAAAAAGGAATTTCTCATTTATCCACCCAGACAGTTTTCTACTTTATATAAAAGTACAGATTTGGAGTTGAGGAAAATGTATAAAGTTGACTCTTGTTATTTCTGAGTTCATTTTTCTTCTCAACCAGTTACTGCTTTGAAATCACATTCCTTTTGTGGATTTGATTTATTTATATTCGGTTTCATCTGAATGTTTTCTATGCTCTTTATGAGTTCATCAAACATTTTAGAAAAACTTTCACCTAAAGATTGCATGTTGTCAAGCAGTCTTTTTCCCCAAAATGTCAGCTTCCTTCCCTCTGTAATCTGATATGTTGTTACTCAATGTAGTAGATAAACAGAACAAGAAAAAGACAAAAGAACAGGAAAGGTATGATATCTCATTCCAAGAAGTTAATGAATTTAATGAGAATAGCCAAATAGATCAAAGAAGAAAATCAGAAAAAAACCAGATAAAATCCAGCAGGGACTTAAAATAAATCATCATTCAGCCAGCCAATTAACCTTTAAAGATAAAGAACAAAGCTAGATAAAGAAGGGAGCTAGAATCTTCGAGACTCCTCCTCCCACATGGGTCCATAGCTGTCCAAAAGTTGCCTTGGGTCATTCCTAGGTGCCCCCACTGAACTCCAGTAAGCAACACTGCCAAAGAATCAGTTTTGGCAACAAAAACAGCAGATTGTCAGCAGGGGAGAAAAAATTTCCCTACTGGGCAGCAGTCATCATGGGGGAATAGTAGTTGATGATATATTTATGAAGAGCTTTAACAAAATCTAAATGACCTTCTTTATAGGAATGGGTTAAGATAGCTGTAATGTAGTGTGCTTTTCTGCTTGGTAAATCATCTCTTTTTCATCTACTTTTCTAGGTTCCTGTGTTGTTCGGGATGCCACCGGGAACCTTAATGACACAATTATTAATGAGCTGACAAACTGTACATCAGCAGCTTGTAAACTGAATTTTGATTTCTCTTCCTGTGAAACAACAAAATGTTCTTATGGGCTAATGGAAGACTTCCAGGTAAAGCACAATTTCCAATCCTGGGAATTCTTGGAGGGAGGGAATTTTCCATATTATATACAATTTTACAAAGAAAGATCTTTTTATGTTAAAAAGGATGTGAAATCAAATACTTAAAATGGAAAATGTTCCTCTCATTGGATGTTTAATTGAAAGTCATGCCTTTCTATGTTTTTACGTTGGTGGTTCCTTTTTGTCACCTCTTCATACACACTCTATCATCTATCTATCTATCTATCTATCTATCTATCTATCTATCTATCTATCTATCTATCTATCTATCTATCTATCTATATCTATCATCTATCTNTCTATCTATCTATCTATCTATCTATCTATCTATCTATCTATATCTATCATCTATCTATCTATCTTATCTATCATTGGATTTTACTTATAATAGTAAAATCTAATGCAAAAAAGAGAAAGTGAAAAGTGCAGAGGAGAAGAAAAAACAAAGAAAAGGAAAGAAAAGAATATAGAAAATATATGAAATAGCGGTCTTCCATCTTCGTGTTCATTATAAACATTTTTGTAACTCTTCATCCCCTCTTAGTTTACAATGATCTCTTCATCCCATATCCATCCCATCTCTTATCTATAACAAATTCATAAACCATGGTCTTTTCAGTCCTAGTATCAGTAGAAAGTTCATTAAGGATTAACAGCAATATCTTATTTTGACCTTGATCAAAGAAACCAACTTTATATTCCTCCTTTTTAGTTCAAAATATTATTTTTATGTCCATTCAGTGTTTCAAAATTTGATTTCATTTCTTTTTTTGCCAATTCTCACAAGATTCTTGAAAGTTTTTAACAAGTTTTTTTGTAAATCCAATGTAAAAAATTGCCCAGGTCACTCTCTTGGTTTATTATTTTTATTTTCCTTTTTATTAAACATCGACTGGTTTTGCATGTCTTAGACTTAGACTAACTTTATTGTCACTTTAAATGTACACTAATCAGCATACATTAAAATGGAATTTTGTTGCATGCAGCTCTCAAAGGGTCACCACCTCCAATGTACACTACGTAAAAATCAAAAATATAAAGAAATATACATATACTCACATATATTATAGCACAGAAAAAGAAAGATGTGCTCTCTTCATCCGATGCAGGAAATGCAGATGCTGGTTTGCATGCTTCACTAAGGATGACATGTAGAGATATCAATCCAGATTGTTAGTTAACTACACCCCCAGATATTTAATACTGTTGACCATCTCTTCAGCTGCATCCTTGATACTGAGTAGAGTATGACTATGCTGGCTCTTCCTAAAATCTACAATGATCCCCTTTGTTTTATTAACATTTAGAATCAGGTTACTTGTATTGCACCCTCCACAACAGCCTTTACCTCTTCCCTATAAGTATCTTCATTATCATCCCGGATAATACCCACCGCTGCCGTGTCATCCGCATACTTCACAATATGATTCGTAGTAGATTTGGCACAACAGTTGTGGGCAATGGTAGGATTCAAATAATTTAACAACCGGTTCTCTTCCCTAACAATTTCTTCCAGCAACCAGTTCACCAAGCTGCTCAGAAAGTTAACAACCGGTTCTCCCAAAGCGGTGTGAACAGGCTGAATCTCACCACTGGTTGTGGGTCATCAAATTGAACAGCAGTGGATTCAAAACACAGCTCTGTGGGAAACCTGTACTCAAGGAGATGGAATTGGGAACTTATTCTAACTTGCCAGACTGAGGCCTATCAATAAGGAAATCAAGTATTAAAACCTAATAGCACTAGTTTGTTCACCAAATGCTGAGGAATGATTATGTTGAATGCTGAACTAAAATCAACAAACAGCATTCACACATGAGTATTTTTCTCCAGGTGCACCAAGCTAAGATGAAGCACATAGGCTAGTGCATCATATATAGAGCGATTCTTCCGATAGGCAAACTAATGAGTCAAATGTAGAGGGAAGACATGAAACCATTTAGAGAGAGATCTTTTTCCATGTCGTTTTTAAAATGGTCAGTTGTAGATCCTTTTCTATCCATATCTATCTTGTCAAGTAAAACGTGTTCTTCACTTGAAATATATTCCATAATATTTTTGCAGACGAATTGTTGATAGAAACAAACATTACTATTAAGATTGGTGATAGTAATTTCTGGTTCCAAAAGTCCCCTTCAGTAGCTATCCCAGTTAATTAACTGTTAATTAGGCTTGTGTAATTTTATCCTTTAACTAAAATTTTTACTTCCCTCTAGTATCCAATTTTTAAAATTTATATATTTCTTTTTAAGGATTAAAGGGAAAGTCCTGTATAGACCTGTTGCTTGCATGATGCCTGGTGCTTGGACCTAAAAAGCCTGCAGGGACCCAAGGGCAATAAATGGATCTCAGTGTATTGGGGAGGGCGGGCCTGACAGGCTCAGGGCAGATGGGCCTGGGGCCTAGGCCTGTGCTAGGAGGCCTGAGGCACCCCATTTCTGCTTAAAGACCTATTCATTTAATGACTGCATCAGAGGAGCAAGGAGTGGGATTATTAAGTGAGGCCATCTTGCTTAATAGCCATTGTGACTTGCAACCATAATTAGCAGACTTCATTATCGTTGTATTTCAAGGACTGTCTGTACTCCTTTCTTCTACTATTTTCTCCACAAGAAGCCTGTGAGGTAGATTGAGCTGAGAGACAGTGACTGAATCAAAGTCACCTAGTCAACTTCATTTGTTTTTCTTTTGTTCTTCTTTTCTGTAATAATAATTTCAGGTTTAGTCTTGGCAAACATTTTACATGTCTTCAAGTTTTCAGAAAGTATAAGGACATTGAGGCTAAACAGAGAGTGCAACAAATATTTGAATTAGAAATACTGCCGTTCAATTTTTTGAGGAAGTTGCATTTCTTTTGTACAATTTAAAAAGTTTTAAACCTCTAAATACTTAGTAGATATTTCAGGATAATAATCTCATTGACAGTCCATATATTACCCCACCATTGTACAGCAGTTTCAAAATATGAATTGTTCACACTATGAGAAAAAAATAAATACATTTAAATTCCTGTCCAATAAAGCTCAAATAAGTCTTGTCCCCTTCAGTGGGATGATACAAATTTGTATTGTAATTGGAACCAAGAGCTTGCCAGGATTACAAGGGTACTGAATCGTAACTCATAATGGTGAGACAGTATCGCTCACATTCCAGGCAAATAGTGTTAACAAATATCACATAAGTATTGTTTAAAATAGGAAAATTAAAACCACAGTTTTAAAGGAATATTATCTGCTATCTGAGTAATCTAGGTAATTTGGATAATCTAGGCTCCTTCCATCTAGGTAATTTGAGTAATCTAGGTTCCTTCCATTAAAAAATTTAACAATTCATTTATGAAACAGTTTAAAATGTTTAAATGTAAGCAGTGTGGACCTTGCTTTCAAAATAAATGTAGTCAGTGTTAATACAGATTCTATTTTCACAACATTAATTCTTCCGGCAAACTATTTTCTTATTTCTTATTCAATATACAGGTAATGAGCATGGTATCAGGATTTGCCCCACTGATAACAGCTGGTATATTTTCTGCAACTCTTTCTTCAGCATTAGCCTCTCTAGTCAGTGCACCTAAAATCTTTCAGGTAAGAAGGATTGTTTTCTTCAAACATGATCTATGTTAAAAAAATACTTTTCTCAACTTATATGTAGTATTCTTTTTTTAAAAAAAAACCCTACAATATATCTAATAATGCTACCTGCTTTGTTTATCAACTATATCGTCTTGTGGCTATATTGTTGATGATCTGTATAGTTTTAATGTTATTGGATTTTTTATTACTGCCTATGTGTGCTTGGCCCTTGTCTTTTAAGATTTAATGCCTTGAGTATGTTTTTATATGTCCCTACTTTAATTGGTCATTTCTTTTGATCCTAGGCATTGTGCAAAGACAATATCTATCCAGGTTTTCTGATGTTTGCTAAAGGCTATGGGAAAAATAATGAACCTTTACGAGGGTATCTTCTCACTTTTTTGATTGCTCTTGGATTCATATTAATTGGTTAGTTTAAATCATATTTGTATACAAAACTTTAAAAAAAATCTGAATTATGTGGCATGATCTGTGGAAATAAAAAATGACAATATAATACCTGAACTGAGCCTTACAAGTTTTACCGTGTTTTTCCCAAAATAAGACACAAGGATAATAAGGGTTTGGCCTTATTATCATGGGGACTTATTTTCTGGCAGGTGGCGGGTGAGAAGTGAGACTTGCATCTTACCTTTCCAGCGCCATCACGTTTCTCGCCGTTGTGTCCAGGAAAACACGTTGTTAAAAAAACCTCACGAGTTCAAACTTCTCGAACTTACGAGAAGGGTTTTTTACAATGTGTTTCCCTGAGCACAACTGTGATGAACACAATGGAGCTGCCAGTGTCTGGTAAGACATACGTCTCGCACTGGAGCGCAATTTGGGGGTTAGCAGGTGGGGTGTGGGATGGGACAGGGCAGGCCGCAAGATGCGCATCTTACTGGATACTGGCAGCTCCATCACGTCTTTTAGCCAGTCAGTGCAAGGAAACACTTTGCACAGTAAAGAAAAACCTCTTGCGAGTGTGAGCAATCAACAGCTTCTCGAACTCGTGAAGTGTTTCCCTGCACTGACTGGGGTGCAATTTGGGGGTTGGCAGGTAGGACAGGGGATGGGGCTGGCCGGGCTGTAGACACACATCTTATCGGACACTGGCAGCTCCATTGCGTCTCTCAGCCAGTCTGTGCAGGGAAACACCTGCACATGCGTTTTAGTAGGTTTTTTGGGAGGGGGCTTATTTTAGCCCATGACCTGAAAAGCCTTATTGAGCTTAGTATCAGGACATGTCATATTTTGTGGGAAACACAGTATACAGATTAATTTCATCAGTCACATTAACTAGTTAGACTTTAAAGGCTTGTCACTAGAATTTCTAATTTTCTAAATATTTGAAGAATCTTTTTGTTAATCCAGCGCTCAACATTAACAAATGCAAAGAAGTATGTCTACCTTGCAATTACACTATGAAAAAGATTCCTGTGTAAATTAACCTGCTTAACTATCATGATGTTGAAAATATTGCACTATTAAAAATAAGTTATTAACATGATCTGGTCTAAATCAGATACTTTGGTCTTATGATCAAAAACATCCCATTTTTAATTCAGAGCAGCTATATAAACACTTACAAGAAGTATCCCAATACTATTTCATCTATTAGAACAGAATTGGAATGCTTCTCGAAAGCTCGAAATATTTCAGACTTGAAATATTTCTAGTTCTAAATATTTTACATACTATTAAAGTTTGGGAGGGGTTTTGTGGAATCTGTGTTGAGCAGAGCGAGGGAGGGAGAGAGAGAGAGAGAGAGATTATGTGTATTTATTCTTAGTAAGAGATATTTCAGCCAGCTTGATTTCAATTCTAGAGTTGTGTCATCCTACTAAGTGGCTTTAGCAGAAAAGCCACTTTTGCCACCCTAATCCAGATTGCATATGTCTGCATATATGAAGAAGGTAATCCTTTTAATTTGCAGCACCACTCTTGGAAGTTATGTCTATCGTTCGTGTAAATGCCTCACTATAAAAGAATACAAAGAATACAAAATCAAAAGAACCACCAATTCAAGTAAGGAACTGTTTTTCCATAGCAGTCTAATCTAAAAATCAATATGATTATGTGTTTCTGTCTTTGCAGCTGAATTGAATTTAATTGCTCCAATTATCTCCAATTTCTTCTTGGCTTCCTATGCTTTAATTAATTTTTCCGTGTTCCATGCTTCACTGGCAAAATCACCAGGTATGGATTTTATATTGATCCTAGTGAGAGCATGGGGTCTTTTTAAAAATACTTTTCAACAACGCTAATTGTACATTCATTTTTAAAATAAACACCATCAGCAATAAAAATAATTTTCAGCTTAATCAGATTGTAATCACTTTTGCATTGCAAAAGTTTGGAGGGTGGGGAGAAGGCATAGTATTACTATACTATTTTCTTTCATTTTTGATATATTTAAGTACATTGTACATAGCAACTGCATATATGAATGCTTTTGTTTATACAACATATTAAATGTGGCAATTAAAGGATAAGTTTTATATATGTCATATAACATGATAATAGATATATAGACATGTATATGTATGTATGTATATGTATGTTTATTTAATTTTTATTTGTTTTTGAATAGGCTGGCGTCCTGCTTTTAAATACTACAACATGTGGGTATCTCTAGTTGGAGCAATTCTCTGCTGCATAGTCATGTTTGTCATTAACTGGTGGGCAGCACTCCTCACATATGTTATTGTTCTAGGACTCTACATTTATGTAACTTACAAGAAGCCAGGTGGGTACATCTTTTTTAGCCAGTTAGGTTTGCATGGTTTTCCCCTTTGCTGCTACTTCACTCCAAGTCTAATGTTAAGTTTAGGTGAAGTAAATTAAAATCAGGATTTGTCTGTATGGTAAAATTGAAACCTTCATTTTTTTCAGAGTAACAGTTTATAGAGGAAATCAGTAACAAAGGGAAATAAAGCACTACTTTTCAAATAATGTTTGAATAGTTCAAGCATTTTATTATATGTTTACACAGCAGTCCTATTTTGCAAGACTTTCTTAGCTAATATGCCTTCAGTGGCTTTTCTTTCAGACCAGACTCTCTTAAGCTCCTTCTCAGCAACATTCACAAAGCTTTGAAGAGAGGCAGTAAAGTTTTTCTTGACTACATCTGAGTTTTGGAATCAATTTATTTTCAGTATCTTTTTCCTTAGGTTTCTTCTTTCTTAAGTTTCTTTAGTCATAAATCTGAAATCTGATACGCTCCTTTGTGCCTTGAAAGTTCACTATTACTTCACAGTATAGCGTCTTGGCTTCTTAATCATTACTACTGTCCTCTGGGACTTTATCCAAATAGGATTCTTATACCATTTTTTTGAGCTCAGATTTTCTCATCTCTTTCTGAAACTGTTTGTCCAGAAATGCCATTCTAATTCTTTTTACCAATTAATATTTTACTCTAATTTCTTACAGTTGTGTCATATAGTCATTAATGCATAGTCAAGATTCTAACACTCTTAGAAATTTAGCTAGAGCTTTTTTCTAATAAATATATTTATGGTAACTATTAATTATCCTTTATATTAAAATGTGAAGAATCACCATTTTATTTAGCTATAAAAATATAAAGGGACCCTTAAATTCGGAAAATTTGCATATCTGATTATTGTAGGAACTTGTCTGAAGACAACATTTTATACCTCCATAAGATACTGTATTTGATTATAAAAATACATTTTAGGATCAAGTAAATTGCTAGTGATACTGCCTAAGTGGTTTTTTTTATGACATGCTAAGATAATTTATCTTAACTCTTGAGTCGTGTTGAGATGTGACTTCCCTGATAAGTAGAAGCATGAGTATAACATTCAGTTATGTTTTCTTGAAATTAAGATTGTTATAGGGCATTTTTGTTTTAACATTAAAGTTATTTTTTGCAGATGTGAACTGGGGTTCCTCAACTCAAGCTTTGACTTACCTGAGTGCTTTGCAGCATGCTGTCCGCCTTACTGGTGTGGAAGACCATGTAAAAAATTTCAGGTAACTTGAAAAATAGTAATCTGTATATTGCTAGATTTGAAGCATAAGAACAGCAGTCTGGGGAGAAAAAATATATATTTTTGAAATCAAATGTTTGGAAAATTAGGGTCAGTTGACTTACACTGAATTGGAATGTTCAAAAGTATCGCTATTGGTATTGAATGGTTATAGAATTATTATAACCTTATTGATCTTGCATATCAGTGCCTGTTTACCATTTTCCTTTAGATCTTTTAAAGTGACTTGATTGGTGATATGGTAAATATGGTGTGAAATATGCATAGATTACAAAATTCATTTAATGTACTTCCCTATTGCTGATTTGGACTAAGCATTCCTCTGGCAAAACATATAAGTGGTTCTAGCTTCACCGTGTGATATTGTTATGGATCTCAGAAGAGGAATTTTGAAACTTAGTGTTTTTTATTAATTACAATCTCCCAGAGATGGTAACACCAGGTTAAATATGCAAAGGCCAATATGCAGCAAAGATTCATAAGTCGGGGTTTTTTTTTCCTGTGGGAAATTTGCTTACATGATAGCTTAACAATAACATCAAAATATTATTACACCCTTAGGTTGTATTTATCTTCTTTGTTTTGATATACTGCAACCTAGTCCCTGACCGATAGATTAGGTCAGAATCCATGTCTTTATTTTAGTAAATATATATGTAGACCATATTTTTCACTTGGACAACATTGTTCAAGGCCAGTGTAAGCGAGTCTTGATATTACAAATGAATAACAAGTAGTGATTCCAGTCACATGAAAAACATGGTGCTAATTCCGAATTGTTTTCGTGTGCAGATTCTGCTTAATGGCAACATTTTAACAGCAGTTCAGATTGGATTGCAAAAATGTAAATGTTAACTGTTGTTTGCATCTAAAATTAGGCCACAATGCCTTGTCATGAGTGGTGCTCCAAACTCACGTCCAGCTTTGCTTCATCTGGTCCATGCCTTCACCAAAAACGTAGGATTGATGATCTGTGGTCATGTACATAGGGTAAGTCTCTAAATAATTGGCTATACTTCTAAAAAAAATATATATTTCTGTCTCATTGTAATTTTTCCCTTTCCCTCGTTTATCTAGAAGTCTAAGATAATGCAAATTGCATGAAATAGAAGAAATGAAATAAAAGAAAATAGTAATACTCTAGTTATGGTATCAACTAAATTTTTGTTTAATAGTTTTATCTTTTAAAACCGGTAGCACATCTTGATTCTTAATAATCATAAAGCAGGTAAAGGTGAAGAAAACTCTTCCTTTCAGATAATTGCTTTTTTATGTGACATAATTAACAGTGACTATTCAAAGATTACTATTGATACAAAGATCTTGCCAATCAGTATTACAAATAACATCCATAACTTGATACAAGTTTAAAATATTAGTTCAGGGCATAGGCTGAAATCAATTTTTATTAAGCTCCTTTGCTGCTGGAGGTTACAATTTAATAATGTGTCATGAAACATTAAAATCTTATTAAAGTTATGCACGTTGTCCATTCTTATATTATTTTTGTAAAACTAGTTATTGCTTGTATAGGGAGTAATGTTTGTCTTATGTAAGTTTTATAATGTTGTAATTGACTGAATAGAAGCATGCAGATAAGATGTTCTTGGAGAATGAGTTGTTTGCTAGCTACTGAGGAACATTTTGACCAGCCTTGTCTGTCTAATATTCAGATATCACGGTACACAGAAATACTTGAGATGCAGAAGGTTTTAGGTATACAGTTTCTGCCGTTTCTCATACTCTGTGAAATGGGTAATATTGGTTATATAATATATAATATATAATATATAATATATAATATATAATATTATATATATATATGTTATATTTGTGCTGATAAATAAATAAAGGGAGACTAGTATAGATCTATTTCAAGCTATTTAGCTCTCATCAGCTAGCCATACCCTTACTGAGAATCGAGCCTGTGCTGTATTGCCTCTTAGGCAGATGTGTTAACCACTGAGCTACAGGGCTCGACTCCTTATCAGCGAGGCCAGGGTGAAAGGTATATATTTTAAAGTCACAACCCCTGGTATGCCCAAATATGGGAGGAAGGTCACTACTTCCATTTTCTGTCATTCGGCTTGTCACACACACACATACACACACACACACACACACACAATATAATGTAATATAATATAATATAATATAATATAATATATAATCACTATGTATATATTACCCATTCATATAGGGTATGTAAGATTTCTAAATTGTTTGAGAGTGGTTATCAGTAAAGGGTGTTTTTTTTAGTTTGGCTTTTGTGTTAAAAAAGAATACTAATTTATGGTTCATAGTTTCTTCAATTATGTTCTAAATAATTTGTTTAGGATTTTTTTTAAAATCTAATCTAAGAGATATCATATCTTTTGATAGAACAGTACATGGTCCTCAAAGAGGAATGCACATTTAAATTTCTTCCAAAAATTTTGATCAGGGGTTATGTTTCTTTTAGGGTCCCCGCAGACAAGCCATGAAGGAATTGTCAGCTGACTTGGCCAGGTACCAACGGTGGCTTATTAAAAACAAAATGAAAGCATTTTATGCTCCAGTACATGCAGAAGACATGAGAGATGGTGCCCAGTACTTAATGCAAGTAGGTGGTCTTTCTAAAAGAGAGATTTCTCTTTTGCAATTATTTGTGTTCTTTATTATATTATTATACAAATTATTTTGTATATTTTGTGTTATAGTAACATACATCCTGATAGATGGGAAGGCTTTACAAGATCATTTACTAAATAATTTCTGTTTATAAATGATGTTATCTACACATGTTTTAGAACTACATTATAGGAAAAGTAATATCCAGAAAATAAAAATGGTGACAAATAGGTGAACGCTGCTTTTCATACAGCAGAAAGTGAAGCTTGATTGTTTTTCATGTATTAGAAATTGACATTCTTTTGGTTTTGAGTATCAAAAAGCAGAGGAGGGAAAACTATTTTTTCTGCAGCTGGGTTTCATGCATTGTGAAGCTGGATTGCAATTCACTGCCTCTCACTTGCTGCAGACCATTCTAAAAATTAGTACATTTTAAAGAGTTCCTTCTTCTACTCTTCCATATTAATGAAAGGTACACGTATTCAAGAAATGTGTATTTAAATATTCTCTTCATTAGAAAGCAACATGACAATAGATTTGAAGTAACTCTATAAAAGTTTATAGTAAAGCTATAAAATTCTGTGTGCTCTTATAAGAAGACAAAACCACTCTCCTGTTCCCTTTCAGAAAGAATTTCATCCATAATAGAATAAAAAATGCTAGGTCTCTACATAGATAATTCTGGGTTCCTTTACCTTTATAATTGTACCTCCTTTCTGACTTTCATTAGAAGAATCTAGAAGGTGGCTGATAGAAATCAGGAAACAACTGCAAAGTTTAAGTTCATAAGTTTATAAGTTTAATAGCATTTATATGCCGCCCAATATACTGCAAACCCTGCAGTATATTATTTTAGTAGGAAAATAGGTGCCGTTCTGAGAATCTCTTTATAGCCTATTCCAGCGATGGCTAACCTTTTTGCCATCGCATGCCAAAAGCAGGGGAAGCATGGGGTCGTGCATGCCCACACCCATAATTCTATGCGTCCTCCCCTCGCGCTTGTGCGCGACACCTCCTGCACATGTGCACGTGACCCCCACCCTCCCTCTGCTTTTGGCATGCAATGGCGTGGTGGACCTGTTTTTCATCCTCCCAAAGGCTTTCTAGGAGCCTGGGGAGGACAAAAACAGCCTCTCCCGCCCCCGGCCCGTTTTCCTTCCTCTGGGTTGCCCGTAGGTTGCTGTTTTTCTCCCTCTGGAGGCTAATGATTCATTATATGTAGGGAGAAGGATTATGTATGTATTAATATAATTTTATAATATAATTTTATTCTAATGTTCTATTAAAAATGTAGGAAACGTTTTGAGACATTAAAATCACATGTTTGGGCTTAAATTTGCTTACAAGATTAGTTTTTACTTCATTCCTCATCTCGAGGCATTTAGAGGGCTTCAAAATTTCAGCTAGTGTTGTCAAATGATTCTCAGTAAAACATAGGACTAGGTAGGGTAGAAAAATTCCAGTGTTTTATCTAATCTGAATAAAGCAAAGTTTAAAGATAGACATACCATTCCAAAGTGCTGTATGTACTTTTTTTCTAGGCTTCAGGTCTAGGAAGAATGAGGCCAAATATTCTTGTTCTCGGATTTAAGAAGGATTGGCAGTCAGCTGATATGAATGATGTTGACATCTACATCAACTTATTTCAGTAAGTAGTAATTAAGATATTGTTCTTGTAACCGAATAGCTATACTTATCAAGTTTCCAGAATAATTATAAGCCACCTTTTTCTGCTAGTATATTCTGATATTGTGGGCAGTAATTCAGTACAATACTGCCTTATAAACTGATCTAGGCATATTGATGGTTCTGAAGTGGATATCATATTTCATTCAGAGTCCTTTTGACTATATGCAGGGAGAGAAGGAGCTTTTTTTATCCACTCCTGTTGTGGATGTTCTGGGATTTCAATAAAACAGGGTCCTGGATTGCTGATGAACTGACAACATAACTTCAAATGAAAAAAAACACAGCTCCTTGAACTACCTACAGAGAGTTTTCAAGGGTGGTTATTGAGATAAACACCCTGAATGAACTAGATTGTCTGGATCCTTTTCTCTTGGGTTTCAGGACAGGATATGTAACTAAACGTATTGTTTTTATGGGTGATCCTAGTTAGAATAACATAGGAGAAATGATATTCAGTTGGTTTTCAGTATCATTTTTCTAGATCGCCTGTGAAGGTTGAGAGTGAGGACATCATTATAAGTGATCCATCAGTGGAAGAGAGGTTAAGCTCTTCAGTGGGCTGCAAGGCACAACTATCCCACTTATATTTAGTATTTACATAAGCCATTGAGAACTTTTATTCAATTGCATAAGATGAGGTATTAACAAAGTTCTTTTTTAATGTATGGGGACTGTTGGGGTCTGGATGAAAACAAACATATTTAAATTGAATCCCAGCATAGCAAGTGTGGCCGTGGGTTGAGAAATTAGCTAATTTCAATAGAATTTTGATCCTAGATTGCTCACTCTGCAATGCAAGCATACAATTGTGAGATCCTATCATCATTATAGCTCCTGCTGGAAAAGCAGAGTGGAGGACTTTCAGCACAGCACAGTCTTATGTGGGCTAGTCCTATACCAACAGGCTTTGTTATCTATTAGTCATGCTTTTGTTACTTTATACTTGGATTTTGCAATTAATTTTACACTGGCTTGCCTCTGAAGACTATTTAGAAGCTATAGGTGCTCCAGAATGCAGTAGATCAGATCAGTTTACTCAGATTAGATATCTATTACAAAAGCTGCATTGTTTGTCAGAAAGCATATTGGTATAATTCAAGTTAATTGTCATTATTTTTAAAGTGTTTATGGCTTAGGCCCCTCCAGTGAATTCCAAAGAGGACATTTGCTGCAGGTCACAATCCCTAGGCAGTATCTCTAGTAGGATTTCTGAAGGCAAGCTTCTTTGTGGCAGTTCCTTCGCTTGGGAATAATGTGCCTAGAGAGATGGGAGTGGTCATATCCCTGATATTGTTTTGCGATGTGAAAAAGACATTGGATTTGAGGATTGTGTGGAAGGATACATTGTTCCTGGAGAAGTGGTGTATGATTATAAAACTGTGATTATATACTGTGGTTTTTGCTTTTTTGTGTGATATTGACGTTACCCAGATGTTCTAAATCAAAGACTTAGATTTTGCCAATGGATAGCATTTGAACAAAAAGCTGAAGCTAGAAAGAACAGTATTTTAAGTAAGTTTTTTGTTTTATAGGATGACCAGTGGAGACATTTCCTATATGGTTTGATTGATCAAACTTGCTTGTCCTTTCACATTAATTGTACTAGTTAGCCAATTGTGACTGCTCACTGGTTTTCCCACTTTATTTTATTTCAGTGATGCTTTTGACTATCAGTATGGAGTGGTTGTCATCCGTCTGAGGGAAGGTTTGGACATATCTCATCTTCAGGGACAAGGTAATCCTTAATATGATTTGGGATTTTCATAGTATTACAATTATATCCTTGCTTTACAACAGTAACCACTCTTCTGATGTTCTCTATACTGTAATAAGCTTCCTAGATACTATTGTAATGTCTGCATCAGACTCTTGAAAACCTCAGGGGAAAAACAAACCCAACTCCTTAGAACATTGTTATAGTAGCACTCTACTTAATCTTGTTCTCTTCCCATTATGAGCACTTGAGTTGAGTTCTATTTTATTCTCAAATGTTGTATCACCACCTCTGATGGTGGCTTCTTGGGAGTTTTGCCTTTTCTTTTAGCTAAAAATGATGAGGACAAGAAACACTTTAAAAAAAATCTTTCTTTCCATAATCACACAATTTTGACACTAGTGAGTTCATTATTTAATAGCCTGGAGCTACTATTTCTTGCTTTGTGTCGTCTTCAGCATTTTATTTCTATTGATTTCATTTTTGCTATCCATCACTGCTAGTTTGATAAACTTGGCTCCAAGAATTGAGATCATGAAATTACTGCTGAACACCCCCCCTCCCCCAATTATCTCTCAGGTTGAAAATGAAACGCCTCTGTCACAGTAGCCCCAGGTTCAAGCATGTAGATTATTGCATCTCCAGTGATCAAATATTTCATCAGACTTTGTTTACACAATATTGTTGAAATGATTTGCATCAAGATATGCATCAGTGGTGCTCCTCCCTTTTCCTCCCTGTTTTAGAATTGAGACCAATAGCAGCTGGAATATAATGTATGTGTTGTGGCCTCAAAATATGTACCACTCCTGCTTCTAGGAATATGTTGTTTCCCCTGTGCAGTTTTTCATTTTTCCTTCACTAGACTTCCTAAATACAAATTGTGCACTTCTCTAGTTTTGATAAGAAATTCCGTCAATTGAACCCAAACTGCTTCATATGAATTGATGCTTCACTTAACTATATTTTGGATAATTTTTATTTTTTGAGAATCACAGTCGTCAACTTAATTGTCTCAGCAGTAAAAACTTAAAGGACAACTTTTTCCGTAAAGTAGGCCATAATAGGTCATTCAGGGACATTGATCTGCACAACTGCAATGGGCCATACTTTGAATATGCTTTTTCTTCTGTGTTGTTGCAAACATTTTCAATATGTTCTTAGATCCTTTGGTCCTTTGTATCCTGGTCACTCTGTCACAGTTCAGGCAGCTGTGATTCTCAATCCTTTTGTTATTTCTAAAGAACTCATTGTGCTTTCCGGCTAGAGATAGTCTTCTGATGCAGAGTAAGGCTAATTGCATCATTTGGATCAGCATTTTCTTTGTCTGATAACCTGTTTCTTTTCCAGGAGATATTTTCAGTAAATTTAGGAAATTTCCTAGAAGCAGTATATAAACCTTCACTTGAAAAACCTATGGTTATTAATCGAATTCCTTGTTTAAGTCAAGTTATTTACATGCTTGATATCTATTACTGAGACGTTTTTCATTTTTTAATTTAAAGTTCTATACTTTCTTTCATGAAAGTATATTTATTATTGTTTCTAGTGTTCCAGTCTCAGATTGCAATTCAGTCTCTTTCTCCTCAGGTCTGAAGTCTTTAAGGATTTTCTAATTGTCCTTCATTTTTTACATTTCTTTTGGTTAGTTCTTGTTTAGCCACTACAGTTGGGACCAGCAACTTGGTTGTTATGAGAAATGGTCACTAAATGAAACACATCTGTGCTTAAGATTTCTTTCCCTTTCCTTTGTTTTACAAACCTGTAAAGATTGCAAGCACAAGGATTGGTCACATATTTTATTCTCATCACCCTCATAATTCTGGTTGCTAAATGAGGCAGTTGCTAAATGAGAACTACTTTATATTTCAGATTGATTACTATGATACAACCACCAGAAGCATGAACAGTTGTCCCAGGTTATAAACAGAGCTTTAGTGCTGACTATCCTTTCTTTATATGTTCAGAAGATTCCCATTCCGTTTTATCTAACATAGTTTACAAGTTCTACTTAGTTAATTGCCTATACACCTTAGGACTTCTATAGGCTAGGGGTCCCTAATTCCCGGTCTGGGGATTGGTTCCAGTCTATGGCCTGTTAAGAATGGGCCGTGCAAGTGAGCAAGGCTTTATCTGTACATGTGCAGGATCTAGGTAGTCACGCCCAAACCCCAGTCCCTGGTGGCCAAAAGGTTAGGGCACCATTTTTTGGTAGGTCCAAAATCTTTTCTTTATTACACAAATTCTTGCCAAAATATTTGCCAGTTTAACACTTTCCCAGAGGGATCATAGGCTAAGTAGAATTGTTTTACCAGCTGGTTGCTAGAACATTTCCAACGGGGAGCTAAATAATATCTCTATAAGGGCTAATACAATATAGATTGTCTTTAGTCATGGAAAACCATTACTGAAACCCATAATACAGATCTCTGCAAAGTGATCAGTCTTGATCTTCAAGGGTCAATGAGATTATCCAATATGTAAAGTACTATTATTCAAAGAAGTATTTATTATATTATTTTCATAAATTTCTTGGGATCAATGAACAACCTGAACCTTGATGAAGAAGTTAATGAGGTGAAGAATTGGGGATACCTTATCTAACGCTGTAACATTATAACCATCTTTACATGCGTATATGCTCATAAATTGATGTTTCTGAAACCTTTGGTATTGGACCTGGGTACTTGAAAGACCGCCTGCTGCCAATTACCTCCCAAAGATCCATTAGATCACACAGGGCTGGCCTCCTCCGGGTTCCATCTACCAGCCAATGCCATCTGGCTACCACCCGGGGGAGGGCCTTCTCTGTGGCAGCTCCGGCCCTTTGGAATGAACTCCCCGTAGAGATTCAGACCCTTACCTCTCTCCAGGCCTTCCGAAAAGCCGTTAAAACCTGGCTGTGTTGGCAGGCCTGGGGTTGATAAGTTCCCTTCCCCTCTCGATCTGTGTGGCTGTTGGCTATTTTTAAATGCTTGTATTTGTACTTTTATGTTTCCCTTTCCCCCTTGGGTTTGTTTGCCGCCCTGAGTCCCGCAGGGAATAGGGCGGCATATAAATAAAATGAAACCTAAACGTAAACCTTTGGAAAAAAATATTTTACATCCTTTCCTTTCTAGCTGGGACCATTTCCAGTGATAAGCTTACTAAATAACTATGTATTTAATATGTAGACACCATGAAGAATGATTATTTTCCTGTGATTATAACTCTTCACTTGCAGCACATTCACACAACCAATCTCCATTCTCTTGCACAAATAGCAATAGCACTTATACTTATATACCGCTTCACAGTTCTTTACAGCAGTCTTTTAGCGGTTTGCAGTCAGGAAATTGCCCCCAACAATCTGCGTCCTCATTTTACCCACCTCAGAAAGATAGAAGGCTGAGTCGATCTTGACTTAGAGTACTGCATTCTAACCATTGTGCCAGCATGGCTCTTGGCAAATGTTACCTTGGCAGTTATTACTGTGCATTCTGAATATGAACATTGAAAATTTTTAGTTAAGAGATTCTAGTGGAACACCTATGTAGAATCCCTATGTGCAAAAGCTGAGATTCCTCCTAGAAAAATCATGGTTTAAAATAGCAACCTATCCTTGCATAAATATTAAGCTATATATATATATATATATTAATGTTCACAGAAGAATTATTGTCATCCCAAGAGAAATCACCAGTAACCAAAGACATTATAGTAAATGTGGACTACAGCAAGAAGACTGATACGGTAACTTCTAAGCCTGTTAGTGAAAAAGGACCTATTCATAAAGGTATGTAGTATATGTATACTTCTTTTTTTCTAGGAACTCAAGGTAGCTTGTATAGTTCTTTTCACATAGGTGTATGTGTGCACACACACATACATACACACACATAATTATTATTATACCAACCCTACAATGTAGATTTGACTCCAAATAGTAACTGATGACAATGTCATAGTGCTGTGTTTATTTAAATATAAGACTCCTTGTTGTATAATGGAATAATTGTGTAGATCTTTTATTGGCCAGATATCTGGGGAAGGGAATATGTTAATTCAAATCTTTTCCTTATTACATTTTGCTTCATATTGCAAAATTTGAAGCTGGTGAGAGTTTCAGAACCAGCAGTGTTCAGCTTTGTTGGTGCACAGTGTGTTACTGAATCATATTCATTACAAATTAAATGAATAAATAAAGCTTTTGGTATATTGAGGCACTGCACCAAAGGGGCTGCTGATATGATTATGGCAAGCTTGTTGACTATAATGTGGATTAAACTTAATAGATAAATATATTGGCTCTGCCAGTTCTAAAATATGTATTACTTGTATAGTAACTTAGTCTATTTTACATACTTGCCCAGTGGTACAGCTGGTCTCGAGTTAAATGTGAGACTGATCATGGATTTTACTCATCTTATTTCCATCTTAAGCTAATGTGGAATTTTAAATTCTATTAATATTTTGTCCCTGGATAAAAATATTTTTGTGTATATGTATGTTTGTATGCATGTGTGTGTTCATATATCTAGTGCAAAGAGGAGGGATATAGTGGACATTTATTTCAGCTACTAACATGATTCTTTTTTTAAAAGTAGTGGTATAAAGAAAAGTTGTGAATATGCTAATTAATAACGATGGCATGTATTAATTCATATTCGTTTTTTACCATTGAATGGTAAAACTGAGTGGTCCATTATCATTAATATTGCAAATAACCTTTTTTCATTTTTTGTTTACTTTTAAAACTTGTCCAGAAGAAGAAGAAGATGTCAAGACTACAACACAGCCACTTTTGAAAAAAGGCAGGCCATTTTCCATCTTTTTTTTGTTTAATCCATTTCCTCTTTCTGTCAGTGTCCATTTATTATTTCTTTCATATCTTATTTTGTATATGGTTTATCACAAGTAGAAGTTAATAATTCCGACTTCCTTGGAACTTGGGTGGATGTTTTGGCTAGGACAGTGTTAGCATTTTTTTAAAAATTTCAGTGTTTACCTAAATCACTTTTTATTGCTGTGCTAAAAATGTAAGGATAATATCACAGTGTATGTGTGTCATTGCAAATAGCTGATAAAAGTGATGCTAATTATTTCAAGCCATGACCAATATCTACATCAGTGTTTCTCAAGATTTTGTAGCTTTAAACTGTGTGGACTTTAACTGCAAAGTCCACACAGCTTAAAGCTGCCAACAACAGAGAAATACAGATCTAGATAGCGGAGTAAAAAGTGGTTGACCATTCATTTGCACTCCCACTCCTCTCAGCAGTCACCTGCACTGCATATTGGGAGCTTCAAAGCCATGCAATGTGATGAAACAAAAAAAAAATCAAGTGTTATATTAGATCCATAAATTTTAGAACATATCCTCTTTATCTCTTATTTTTTTCTATTCCTTGTAAACCAGCTTCTGCATTTGAATGGAGATGGCTGATTGGATATTTTGGACTTCATTTTCTTCCAAATGTCACTTCTCAATTTTACAGATCCTAAGGGCCCGTCTGTTCCTCTGAACTTGGCCGATCAAAAGCTGCTTGATGCAAGTTTCCAATTTCAGAAAAAACAAGGCAAAAATTACATTGATGTTTGGTGGCTCTTTGATGATGGGGGTAAGACTTTTTTAAAAAAAAATTACAAGAAAATTAGAAATGTTATCGTATTTCTTTTCCAGCATTTGCTCCACACTAATATTGGCTTTTTTTCTCCCCTCTAGGCTTAACACTTTTGATTCCATATCTTCTGACAACCAAGAAAAAATGGAAAGACTGCAAGATCAGGGTGTTCATTGGTGGAAAAATAAATAGAATCGACCATGACAGAAGAGCGTGAGTTTAATGAATTAACAAAGTTCCCTTGGCTAAGATTTTTTTCTATTTTAACCAAATCAATTAATCAAACCCAATCAGTGCATTAATATATTTGATATATTTATATTGTTTATATCAAAATTCATAAATTGCTTTAGAATAATGATAGTGCCACAATGGATGAAAAATTTATATTATTATATTTATAATATACACTTTATGTTTTGTTGATCATGTTCTAAGCACTTAAGCATTTATAAGGAATTGCTTATGAAATGAAAAGTGGGATGAAAAATTAAATGAATCTATTTTTACTTAATCATTAGATTTAGAACACACTAAAAAAAATCTCATACAAAATATTTTACCCTACACATTTCATAGAATGTAAAAGTTGGAAGAAATAATTTAGTCTAATGTCTGTACAGTGCAGAAATCGATTATAGCTAGTCCTTGACACATGACTGGTTGCTTAGCAACTGTTCGAAATTACAGTGGACCTCCCCAGAGCAGCTTACAACCCAGATTCAAAGTTTTGATGGCTCACCCCAGTCACATGATCACATATTGGGCCCTTGACAACCATATTGCATTTATGGTTGTTTACAGTGTCATATCGTCATGTGACCATGTTTAATGACGGGTTTTGCCAGAAGCTGGCAGTTACTTGCAGTTTACAGCAAAAAGCAAATGCTCATTGTGAACGGGATTTGTTGAAAGACCATGTTCGCTTAATGACCATGATGTTTGCTTTATAAACTCTGCATTTAATGACCACAAAAAAGGTTGTACAATTGAATGGGAATCACATGATGACTCATTGAACAACCAGCACAAACATAATTCCGAGCTCAATTATAGTCATAAGTTGAGGACTGCCTATATTAATAATATCCTTACAGAGACCCCAGCTTCTGCCAACCTAGCAGTTCAAAAGCATGTAAAAATGCAAGTAGAAAAATAGGGACCACTTTGGTGGGAAGGTAACAGCGTTCCATGTCCCTGCAGCATTTAGTCATGCCGGCTATATGACCACAGAGACATCTTCTGACAGCGCTGAAATGGAGATGAGCACACACACCCCTCTAGAGTTGGGAATGACTAGCACATATGTGTGAGGGAAACCTTTACTTTTATGTTACAGAGGCCATTCTATTCAAATGCTTCCTCAGAAAGAGGATCCACAACTTTCAAGGCACTATACATTTCATTGTTGAATGTTCTATCATCAAGATTTTCTTCTTGATGTTTACCTGTGCCTTGTCATTTAAAGCCATTGCTGCTTCTGTCTTCAGAAATAATCTTATTGTTCAGTTCTGTTTCCTAGACGACAGCCTTTCAGAGACTTCTAAGCAATCATTATAGCTCCCCATCGCCTGCTCTTCGGGCTAGCTGTACACAGTGCCTCTTAGCCTTTCATAAATATGTTATTGTGGCTACTGTCCTCTGGAACCATTCCAGCTTATCAATATCCTTACATTACTGAGCTCAGAAGTGGATGCAGTATTCTAAATTCCTACTGTTAAGTATGGTCTCCTTTTAACTTTCAGGATGGCAACATTGCTTAGCAAATTTCGGATAGACTTTTCAGATATCATGGTTCTTGGCGATATCAATACAAAACCAAAGAAAGAAAAGTAAGTTGCATACTGATTTCCAATATCAATTTCTATGTAATTTAATGAAATATTACATCAATATTTAGACTCTAATGTAAAATGATTATACAATGAGGCAAGGGTGAAATTCAGCAGGTTCTGACAGGTTCTGGAGAATCTGTAGCAGAAATTTCGAGTAGTTCAGAGACAGGCAAATATCACCTCTGGCTCACCCCAGAGTGGGGTGAGAATGGAGATTTTGCAATATCCTTCCCCTGCCACGCCCACCAAGCCACGCCCACAGAATCAGTAGTAAAAAAAATTGAATTTCACCCCCTCAATGAGGTTACATTTTTAAAAATAACTTAAAATAATTAGTAAAAAAAATTATAGATATTGGGTAAGAAATGGCTTTTACAGAACATGGACTGAATTTCTATTAAAAACAGAATCATTAAGTGCCATATGAATGCCATGCTACTATTTAAATGGCATTTCCCTGTGATAATTTATTTAATTATAGTTTTAACAGCAGAATCTCAATAATGAAAATAACGTGTTAGTATGATTTTTTTAATTACCATATAATCATTTTCTCAAACTAAAATCTGAAAACAGATGGTAATATGGAAGACTACAGATAATTCTTGCTTAACAGCTATAACTAGGATCGGCAATTTCATCACTAAGTAACAGTCATTAACCAAAATATCACACGATCATGCCAAATTTACATTGCAGATGCATTGCAGTATTAAGCATATCACAATGGGTTGTTAATGTCACATGACCACAATTTATAATCTGCCCCTTGAGTTTTCATGTCGAAACCTGATTTTGAAGGGTGCAAATGGTAACATCAGGTTGCAAAGTGCCTGAATTGAGATTGTGTGACCATGTGGATGCTGCAACCGCCATTATTTCAAGAACCAATTCTTAATTTATTTCTTCAGCACTCTGATAAGTCCAAGCACACTAGCTGAAGGGGCAGTTGGTAAACAAGGATTATCTGCAATAATAAGCCTCTGCCCTCTAAAGTCTTAACCAGTGAATCTTGTCCAGATAGAAAAAGGCAGAATTAAAGTTTCAGTGAAATGAAAATTCCAACTTTACAAGGTAATCAACAGGCCCTACACTACCTGGGAAGACTTAGTTTTTAAATAGAGGTAAATTGCAAAGCAAATTTGTGGTGTCCTTAGTGCTCTCTCAACTTGGTTGTTTGCTCAGGGTCTGCACTGAAGATATTATCTAGTTGAGATAACAAAACATCCAAGCTCAGAGAAGATCAAGGATTCCATTGCTTAAACCCAAGCTACATTTATTCTCTTCTATTGGAAAAAGAAATTGCTAGGGACCAGGATACCTCTGTGCAGAGATATAGTAGCTGTTCAATTCCAGTTACTAAGCCTGCAGTTTTTAATGGCATGATATGGTATGTGACGTGGTAGTCGTATGCCTTACTGCTGACATTGTGGTTAAAACCTAGAATTGATATATTCCAACTCTTGTGATCAAATAACTTTCAGCATTGCAGCCTTTGAAGAAATGATTGAGCCATTCAGACTTCATGAAGATGATAAAGAGCAAGATGTTGCAGACAAAATGAAAGAAGATGAACCTTGGAGAATCACAGATAATGAAATTGAGCTATATAAAACCAAGGTATGTAGCATTCTTTCCCACATGTACAAATTTTTGAACTTTACATCAGTATTTCAAATTAATTTTAAAATGATTATTTGCCTTTCAGAAATCAGTAATGCTTTCATTTTTCTTACAGAGTTACCGTCAGATTAGATTAAATGAATTACTGAAAGAACATTCAAGCACAGCTAATCTAATTGTTATGTAAGTACTCATTTCTATAATTCTTGGCATCCTTTCCAGTAAATATTTGAAATAACAAATCACTCAAAAGTGTCTTTGTTTAATGCCCTTTCATTCAGTAAATATTAAAAGTTGCAACAGAGGTGGAAAAAAATGAAATTGTGATTAATCATTGAACTTACGATCATCGTTGTACCCACATAGTAATTTAAGCCAGTTCACATTTATGACCAGTCTTTGTCTTTGCCTGCTTCACCCTCTCCGCTGGGTTTACCATCCTGGCCATGCGTGGAGGCACCGTGACTCCAGGACTTCTTGTGCTGTGACTCTAGGGATACTTGCACCCTTGTGCATCATCTCTCACTCTTGCCAGGCCTCACCAGCGACCTGTTCTCTTAGTCCATGGACATGCTACAGTTTGTTGGCCATTCACATACCCTCCCCCAGTCCCACTGCAATTCGCCTCACCAGCCACTTGCACACCCCACCTACACCAGTTCCAGTTTAACCTTGATCATTCCTTGAATGAACTACTTTAGATGCTTTGTGAGATGACTCAGGCTGCACCTAGGACAAACATGATAACAAACTCATTGTGAGATGACCTCATTTTTGTAAAATGATGCCAATTATATGGTTGTTGCACTGGTTGTCAGTAGCTTCTGGGATCAGTTCATTTCCTTGAAAGCCACTGTTGCAACAGGATACATGATCAGAGATTTTCTAGCTTGAGTCTGTCTTAGACATGTCTGCTGTGAGTCCCAACCCCCTTTTCATGAAGTTCCTATAGAACAGACTTCCTGTGGGAATTTTCATTTTTATACCAACCCTGTTGTCTTTGTTTTGCTTTCTTTTTTTAAAAAAGAACATAATTTGGGGGGTTTGAGGAGATTTATAAATATTGCTAATAAGCATTAAATAACTAAAATAACCTTGGATCAATGTAAACTTGACTGCATAAGAAGTGAGTGATAATGGAAAGAATACAGTATGGGGGTTTGCAGTAAATTACTTATTTAATTGGGTGAGTTCTGCTGGAATATAGGTTTTGCTACTAAAGAATTTGGGGATGATTAGTAGAAATAGTAAATCAAATAAAAATTTAAAAACTGCTTTCAGTAGAATTGTTTATCAATACTACTCAATGAACAACATTGAGTAAAACCATTTCATGTCAAAAATATTTTGGATGTCAGATCAGTTTAAATTAGATTACATAATACAATTCTAATCCTGTGCATCTGTGAATAATTCCCCCCCCCCTCTGTTTTTTAATAGGAGTTTACCAGTTGCACGAAAAAGTGCAGTATCGAGTGCATTGTACATGGCCTGGATAGAAGCTCTTTCAAAAGACCTGCCACCCATTCTCCTTGTCCGTGGAAATCATCAAAGTGTTCTTACCTTCTATTCATAAACTCTCTTGTGCAAGATGCAACGGGGAAGAAATGGTACTTCAGTGCCTAGAGGAAAGGGACTGGAACGTTCGATTAAAATATTAACCTCATACAGAGGCAGAAAGTGATAACTTTCTCACTATTCCCCTGACTCAAAAGCACATAAGGAAAGTCACTATACTCCTAAAGTTGTGGAAGTTCCATTTTTTTTCTAATTCTTCTGTAATTTAATCTTGCTAAATGGGGGAGGATTCCTTAGTAAAGAATAAATAAACCGGTTTTTCTTTGCTACTTGAAAGGCAGCAATAAAAGTGTTTATTTTTGATCAATGAATGGGTTATAGATTTATAAAAACCTTTTAGCCTTGAGGTGCCTTCTGAAGTTAACCAAATTTCATCCATATATCGTTTTGTAAATTTATAAAGTCAGTCTGCCATTGGTTAAAACTTTAGATCAGACTTCCTTTAGTTTCTAGACTCTTCCATCTTACAATAATAAAGATGCTGCATTCTGGTCTTCCATGAAGGTATTAGTTTGGACTGTTGTATGTTTCTTACTGTTTGGAACAAGGGGTTGTGTGTCTGTGGTCTGTGTATGTGTCTGTTTAAGAGACTGGTTAGACCTAAGAAATAAGTGGGATGACTTGGCTATGATAATAAAGTCAAATTCATGCAGTTAGCATTGAGGACTTTGTAATGTTTAATTTTTACTACTGAAAGATGTACTTAATGGGGAACTACTGATGTTCTCCGATTCCACCCCGTCCTGTTTTCCCTGTGCTCCTATGACAGAAGATTAACCAAACAAATTTTATTGTGCAACTCCGTTGTCAAAGGGTGCTTTTGTCACAGGATGCCATCGGCGTTGGGACTGATACTGTGTGTGTTCTTTTGGGGGGCACCATATGGATAAAGAGTAGTTCTGTGGGACCATGTTTTGTCCAGGGCATCCAAGGGCAGTTTATTTAAAATCTGCTAAAACTCTTGCTAAACACTCAGGTTTGGTTCTCTTGAGCTTTTTAATTTGATAAGATGGTGTATTCCAGAACTGCCCATTTGTGTGCCCTCTGTTTATGGATGGGTATATATTTCAATTGCTTTATATTTTTTTATTCTATGAACTGCTTCCTGAAGAATCTCTTCAGGCTTTATCCAATAAATAGTAACAACGCTTATACCTGTTACCTGTAGATTGCCTAAAATATGTTTCAACTTTTGGCTTTAATACAGAGCGCCATATTAGATCAAAGATCTATAATTTCAGAGTTTGTAAGTGAATACATAGCATATAAAAACACAGCTTTCTTGCTAAGTGAGATCAAAATCTGTGAACAAATAATTGTTTTGGAAGATCTGGTTATTGGGACAACAGGATTCTTGCATATTGTAATTACCTTCAGTAACCAACTGCTCTAATGCTGATTGTTTTTTTTCCCAGAAGTGCAATACATGTTGGCTGCCACATAGAGTAATTCATTGCCAGGATATATTTTTCAAAGGAAATTGGAAGTTTATAATAGTTTGTTGTTACTTTTTAAAAAAATCACATTGCAAATAGAGTATTGATTACTACCAGATTGGTTGATTGTTGCTGTGATGAGAGAGGATGTAAAATTACTCAGTGAGGCTGAATTTCCTTTCCTTTCCCTTGTTTTGTTAAGTGCAGACTTAGAATAGGATAGAAAACAATGTCACCCTCCAGAGGAAATGCACTTGGGCATGTAGTAGTTTGGCCCATTCAGGGCAGCCATTATTTGTGATGTGCAAAAGAAAGGAATTGCATTTCTGTCTGTGTGGTGGCTGAAATAATTATTTTAACATTTGGATCTATTAATGGTACCAAATGTAGTCTGTGACTTAAAAGTTCTTTATCCAATATTAGAAATTCCAAATGCCAAATCCTGATTATAACATTAAAGCTCTCCAGGTAATATATACTATTAACTTGTTAGCAAATTTACCCATACCAGTTTCTATTTACTACACATTTAAATTTCTTTTGGATGCTTTTTAAGTTTCAATCAATAACTTGAAATAGTTTTCCATTGACACTCAGCAATATCATTTTTATAAATTTATTTTGTGAAATTTGGAAGTGTTTAGAAAATAGTTGAAGAAATTGATTATTTATTATTTTCATTATGTTTGTCTTTCCTTTTTACACAATTATTTTATATGCTACTTTGTTTATTTAAAAATGAACTACGGTCTTAATTTAAAGCTTGAGCTTTGATTGGTACTATCCACAGTCCAAAAATGTTATGTCATATTTTGATAATGTATTGTAACTGTTATCTACAGTTATGACTTTTCTAATGTTTTAACAACATGGAGTATTGCAGCTACTATACTGAAGAAGGATCACTGCAATAAATGGAAGTGAATTAAATACTTTTTGTCTAAATTATTTCATTTTTATTGATGTGCTTCCCTGCACTTCCCACATCCACCCAGTGGAGTTCTGACCATTTTCCTTCCATGTCATCTGTTTTGGTTATTGCAGGTTTAATATTTCAAGCACCATTGACACTCTTTCTGTCGTCTCCAGATAAGAGAACTTTGATCTATCATAGTTGGTCCACTTCCTTCTCTAGGGGAATCTGCCTAAACAGCTACTTGGTCCTAACTGTCTGCGCACAAGCCCAATATGAATTACTTGGCAGAATCAGCCTAGCCCAAGCAGTCTTGCTTGTCAGAGATAAGAAAAAAAATGCACAGGTTTTTTGCCTATTTATTTGTGAATAAACTCATTCTTAAGTTTGAAACTTGTATGCTTAAGTTCAGAAACATCTAGTCCCATCCAAAGACTATTGTGTCATTCTTCCCAGTCACCCACCCAGGCCACAGATGGTCTCTGTCTCTGTCTCTCTCTCCCTCCCTCTCCCTTCCTCCCTCCCAGGCTGTGTCCTGCCCCCAATTCAGCAAAACATCAGCAGCAGAATCCTCATTTATCTCAGAAGCCAAATAGAATATAATGTTCCATATTCCAGTGTATATATGGAATATTCCTTTTTTCACGATTATTCTGCATATAATGAAGAGGACTGTGATCCATAAAAATATTTGTATTGGTATTAAGGTGCCACAGAAATCTGCATAGATCTATCCAAATCTTATTCCACTCAGTATCAGTACCCTAAGTATGAAAAATCAGCTTCCCTCGGTATTGGCTGTCTGCGTGTGAACATCACCCCAAGGAACTCCATTCTGGCTGTCCCTGCTTCAAAATGTTATCTGCTGTGGCAGCTCAGTTGCAAACAAGGGTATACTGCATTTTGAATACAGGCAGACATAGTCGCAGTTTTACAATATCTAGAAATTGAGGCACTTTTTCAGAGGGGGGGAGGGGCATAATTTTACTGATACAAGGGCTGTGCCATTTGTGCTGCTTTCCAACATTATGGATGAGTGCCAATAGTTAAAGAATTCAAAATAACTATCCACACACAAAAATGGGTATTAAAAGCACTTAAGACTTCTAGAGCCATCACAATTGCCTTATTTACAAGCCTATAAAGAAGCACATTTCCAGTCCCAGGAAAATATTTTCCCAGTCATTGCTGCACTTGCATCTTTCAATTTTATTTAATTGCATTTAAAAATCCCCTCCCCTGGCCTCATTTGGAGCTCTCCTGCTCTTCCATTGGAGGGCCACAGTCCCTTGAGATAGAACCGGTCAGCACTCCTGGCTTGTCTTTGATACAGCGTGTGTTGCATTGAAACCACCCCTTTCTTCAGCTTCATGATCAGCTTCACTGAGCTGGAACTGGTGGTTAATTATGCAGCTCCTATAAAAGTTTTAACGCTTTTTAAAAAATTCAGCTGACCTGTAATCATATTTTATTGTATTACTGCAATACTTCTTGTGAAAATGAAACTTGGATTATTTTACATTCATTTTTTGTATTCAATTTTTTTTCTTTGTGAGATTGTTAAAGATAAAATTTCCTGTCTGCTTTTCTCCCATTGTCCTCTTCTTCAGCTGATTAGTGTACAGTTCTACAAAAACCCAGTTCTATTCATTAAGATGCAAAATAATTCTGCATTTAGTTTTAACCCCCGAGGAGTTCAGCAAAATATTTCAGTGATTCTCAAATCTATGCAGAATTACCAATAATTGCCTTTTCAGCTCTAGTCTGGTTAGTGTATGGTTTAACACAGGGGTGTCAAACTCGCAATGACACGTAATGTATCACAACTTTTTCCCCCTTTGCTAAAATGGGGATGGGCATGGCCAGCATGTGACGCATCCAGGCTGCAGGTGGTGAGTTTGACACCCCTGGTTTAACAGGTTTCATGATAGATATTTTTCTGGTCATGAACTCTGAATCTAAAATTGCAAATCCTTCCAAATACTAAGCTGGGCCAGAGGGAAAAAAATAAGCTGCTATTTATTTTATTTTTTCACCTGCTTAGCAACGTTGACTAACCACCTGCATCTTGTTGGAGGCTGAAGCTTTCTCTGTGGACCTGTGAGCGTTCCTGAGGGGGAGAATCTTACTCAGAGCAATAATTAGTGAAGCAGGTTTTTAACTGTAGCAGAACATGCATTATAAGGATAGGCAGCTCCTAGCACTGAGCTAACTACATTCCATGCCCCACGTTGCTGAGAAGAGGCAAGAGGAAATAACCTCACATTAGCCACCTCTTATAGCAGGCAGATAGCCAATATAAGGTTAGCCCCACCTTTGGCATGAAAGGCAGCTGGGTGACTGGGCCAGCCATTCTCTCACAGCCCAACGTACCTCACAGGGTTAATGCTGTGGAGAAAATAGAAGGAATGTGTGTTGGATATGTTCACTATCTTGAGTTATTTATAAAAATAATAAAGGCAAGATTTTTTAAAAAAATTAAATTTACTCTTTATATGTACTTTGATTCACTATATCTATGGCCCATAGATCATGAGGGAACAAAGCGTCGTGGAATTGGAATCTTCAGCAGGCATTTCATTTCCTTAACTCTGCCTGTGGCCCCAAATGACACCATTTACAGAAATCTAGAGGTAGGTCTGCTGAGTAGCATGCCTTGAAATCACTGCAGGGCTGATTTGTTCATCCAAAATGGGAGCACTAGTGTCAGGCCTGCGGTCATATTCCATTCTTTGTCTCCGCATCTCTGGACCTGACTTGAAACAGATGGGTGGAAATGCCAGCATGGCAGTGGAAGATTGGACCATATGATGGACTTGGGGTTGTGGGGAAAAGATCATGAACTTTCAACTGGGTGGAAACCCCAGGAAGTCTTCAGATTCGGGTTTCCACAGAGGTACCAACATGTCTCTACTATTAAATTGGAACTTTGATGAAAGCTATTCCTTGAACTCTGATTTAATTCTGGATGATATTTGGAACGCTGACAACTAGAGCATGACAATTATCCCTCGGGAGGGGAAAAGTTATATGTGAGCGATGGTGTTACAGATTGGGCTGGATAAACACACTATGGATACCAGAATGAATGAGTGGTAGATCTTGCTAGTCCTCCTCTATAACTTGCCTTAGAATAAAGAAGGAGAGAAAGATAATAGTCAGGACTGAACTCCAATGTTCTGGTTCAAACTTAGACTTCCCTTTGGAGGAAGCTAGGCTTATATTGGAGTGGAATGTAGGCTCACAAGTTAGTTTTCCATTGCATTTAATTTCCTCCAGGAAAAAGGAGTAGTTATGAACTTGCTACCTGGGCTATATAAGCTTGTTAATTTGGGGTTCTTGTTGGATTTTTAAAATATTCAATATTGTGTTATTGTCTTCTCTTGTTTTCTTTTTTTGCAAAATTAGAGTGAAAATATTTCTGAAGAATGATAGGAAATGTCCTTTTTATCTCTCCTCCAATTTGTTTTCCCTTCCAGCAAGGTTGCTAGAAGCATCTCTCAGCGGGCCTCTTCATTCCTGTCTATTCAGGAATGGAGAGGCCAGTTGAATTGAACCAGATAGTATGTCAAGTTTGAAATGTACCAGATAGTATGTCAACCAGGAAACAGAAATTGAGAACACATATAAAAGTTGTCGAACGCCATCTTGTGGTCAGAGAAAAATCCTACAAACCCTACTTAATTCGATTTTAATATCAAACTATAGACACTTGTATTCGGGTCTTTTCCCATGTAAGATTGAGATTGTCTTGGCAACGTTTCGGCGAGGTCTCACTTGCCATCTTCAGGCTGGTGTTTTCTTTTAGCGTGGTCGGAGCTGCTGTCTTTCTATAAATCTTGGTGGAGGTGTGTGGAGTGCTGCCTTTGCTTCAGTAAATGGAATGATTAGTCGTGTGGTTGTATCATGATTGGTAGATTGGTGCTGATTGGTGCTAGCTATGTGTCTGTTGTTGTTTTG